GGCCTGCTGTCTATTGAGAAAACCAGCGACGGGGCCTCTGAGCGCTGCCGCGGGGGTGCGGGAGGGGGGCTTCGTCCTGCCGCTCGGATGCTCGGGGGCACCAGACTCCGAGCCGGGAGAGCTTGGGCGATCGGTTCACCTGTGTCTGCCCAGACTGTCCACCTCCGGCCGGGAGAGCACCGAGCCTGGAATGACCGCTGCCGCGGGGGTGCGGGAGGGGGGCTTCGTCCTGCCGCTCGGATGCTCGGGGGCACCAGACTCCGAGCCGGGAGAGCTTGGGCGATCGGTTCACCTGTGTCTGCCCAGACTGTCCACCTCCGGCCGGGAGAGCACCGAGCCTGGAATGACGCAGGGCATCACCGAGAGAGGGTGGCTAGCAGCCCTGCTGACCTTAGCATTGTTTTGAGAAAATGCAGGCAAGTGTGTTAGTGACCACTTGTGATTTTCCAAAAGGCGTGGCAGGAGGGAGGGTGTTCTAAGGATGGTAGGTAGGGGCCTGGGTCGGCCATTTCAAAGCACATCTTTTTTAATGAGGGCAGTGGGGGAGGCAGGGGAGCATTTTGAGTCTGGGCATGTCATAATTAATATCTACCTTTTAATAACATGTTAATTGCTTCCACTTATTGAACACTTGCTGTGTACTAGGCCCCGTTTGAATTGCCGTATGCATATAAACTCATGTATAACTTAATCTTCACCGTAGCTTTGTGAGAGAGGCCCTGCTATTGTACCCATTTTATAGATGAGGAAACGGAAGCAAAAAAAGGTTAAGCATCTCGAGTAACTTAATACGGTCAGTAAAGGCAGACCTGGGATTCAGACTAGCCTTAGTGTGAGGAATGGAATGGACAGCAAGCCTGGAAGCGGAGGGCGGTGTGGGGAGGCCCAAGAGGGCTTGGGGGGGATAAAGAGTGATGGAAGGAGACTTGACTTGTGGTGAACACATAATACAGTATACAGATGGTGTATTATAGAATTGTACACCTGAAACCTATGTAATTTTACTAACCAATGTCACTCCAGTAAATTCAGTAAAAAAGTAAAAAAAGAAAATGACTGGAAGTGGAGCAAGTAGTTAGGTAATGGTTCTTGTAATCCATGATATCCTGAATTGGGGAAGTGGTAAAATGGATGGATTATGTGCAGGGATTTTAGAGTTATTTAGGAGTAGCAAGGATAGACAGGTGATTGATTAGATGTGGATGATGTGGGAGAAGAGGCAGTTATCTGCTTGAGCAAGTAGGACCTTTTTACTGAAATAGGAAAACACAAGATGAATGGATTTGGGATCAGGAAACCATGAATATAATGAATTTATTTTTGGTCATGTTGAAATTTTAGTGTCTTTAGTGTAAAGTGCTCAAGAGAGAAACAAGGTCTAAACTAGCTGTAGATTTTGGGAGTCATCCCTATATAGTGAAAGTTGAAGCCATAAGTTCTTCTAGTAAGTATGTATCAAATGGCAAAGGCCACCGGTGGTTAGACTGACATGAAACACCAGCATTTAAAGGGGGACAGGTAGTGAGTGGTACATACATACAATGGAATATTACTCAGCAATAAAAAGGAAGGAAATCCTGCCACTTGGGACAACATGGATGGACCTTGAAGAAATTGTGCTACGTGAAATAATTCACACAGAGAAAGATGAATACCTTCTGATTTCACTTATATGTGGAATCTAAAAAAACCAAAACAAATGAATAAGCCAAACAGAACAGAAATAGACTCAGATATACAGAACTAGCTGATAGTTGCCAAAGAAGTGGAGGTTGGGAGTTGGAAATTAAGTAAAAGAAAATGTATGTGTAGCCCAGGTATATAAGTTCCCTCTGGTAAAAAAAAAGAAAAGAAAGGGGGACAGGTAGAACAAGGCAGACATCTTTAGAGGAGACCAGGTAGGAGGAACCAGAGAAGCAGAAGGACCATGAAAAGTGTATCAAGATGACAGAAATAGACAATTGGTTTGTGACCTTCTAAGCCAGTGATTCCCAAAGTGGGCACTACCGCCCCCTGGTGGGCGCCGCAGCGATCCAGGGCGGGCGGTGATGGCCACAGGTGCATTTGTTTTAACTTTTTTTGTATTACCTTTCTATTCTGAGTTCAATAAATAGTTTCATAATTTCAAACTTCAATGTTTCTAATTTACACCTTTCTTTACTATATTTTACGAAAAAGGTAGAAACATTAATACATATATCTTTCTGTTTAATTGCTATTAAAATTTTTAAAAAATTAATTTCCAGGGGGCGCTGAGTAATATTTTTTCTGGAAAGGGGGCAGTAGGCCAAATAAGTTTGGGGACCACTGTTCTAAGCATTCAAATATTAATAAGGACTATGATATGTGCTTTGGCTATAGTAGTCAGAAGGTTGTTAGTGACCTTCTGATTGATGGGTGAGGTCGTTGAGGCAGTGAATGTGAACAAATCTTTCCGAGTTGGGCTTTGATGAGGTGGAGAGGGGGCAAAGGCTATAGGGAAAGGTTTTTAATTTTTAAAATTTATTTATTTTGTGTTCTCACCTGAGGATATGTTTATTGGTTTTAGAGAGAGAGAAGGAAGGAAAGAGGGAGAAAGGGGGGAGGGAAGGAGGGAGGGTAAGGTGAGGGAGGGGAGAGAGAGAGAGAGAGAGAGAGAGAGAGAGAGAGGGAGAGAGAGAAAGAATGAATTGGTTGGGTTGGTTGCCTCCCATACACACCCCAACTTCCAACTGGGGATTGAACCTGCAACCTAGGTATGTGCCCTGATTGGAAATCAAACACCCAACCTTTTGGTGTGTGGAATGAGTTGGCTGGGGCTTTTAAAAAGTTTTAATATGCACATACACTCAAACAGGGTGTTGGGAGAGGCCTGCAGAAGAGGACATAACTGGATAGTACCACTTTATAAAGTAGTAAACATTTAATGGTATAATTATTTAAATCTTTAAATATTATGTACCTTTTTCCTTTGATTCTGTTTGATTTTTATAGGATGAAGTTGTGATATGTCCTTATGATTTCAATCATCACATGCCTAAATCATCTTTAGCAAAGCACATGGTATCATGTAGATTGAGGAAACTGGGCTACACCAAAGAAGAAGAGGTATGCGTGTGTCATATAATTCATGCACTAATAAATTCACAATATATGGAAGTATAGGGTGAGGTTTTCTGACATGAAATAATAGTCATTTGTGGGATAGAATGGTACTAGCCTAATTTCACAAATTATTGCAAGAGATATTTCAGTGATACTAATCTATTGTTGGTTTATGTCAAATCTTAAAATAGTTAATCATCTGATTCTCAAGAATACTGACTTTTTTGTTTGTCTTTTTACTGTTTAGGATAAAATGTATAATTCTGAATTTTTCTATGAGAATATGAAGATACCTTCAATCACTTTGAGTAAGTATTAGTAAATTATAACTTTAAAAATATCTTACTATATGTATGTATTGATAATTCATTTTTTAATTATCAAAAGAATGGACTTTATAAGTATGCTTATGGTTAAGGTCATTGATACCTTAAGAGAATGTAAGATTGATTAATGTATAGTGAAACTAGTTTTTGTAATCTGAAAGTTAGAGACCAGGCCTGTTATATTAATAGTAAGTGAAAATCCTGGAAAGCTTTGTACAGTAGGACAGACACCTTTCTTCTTAGTTATAACAAAAATCTGTCCACACAACACAGTTTGAAGACAGGACTGAAGATGGAAATGTGTTCTCAGACAGCAGTCGCCAACCTTTCGGACCTCACGGACCACCAGTAGTCCGTGGGCTACCGGTTGGTGACCACTGTTTTAAGAGGTTGAAATCTTGGGCTCTAAAATAGAAGGCCCTGATTCAGCTCCTGGTTTTGTTACTAACAGATGTGTAACTTTCAGCAAGGTAATTAACCTGTTTGTTGTCCAAATTTCTTTATAAAATGGGAATGATGGTATTTGCACTTTTTTAAAAATGTATTTTTATTGATTTCAGAGAGGAAGGGAGAGGGAGAGAGAGAAACATCAATGATAAGAGAGAATCATTGATCGGCTGCCTCCTGCACGCCCCCTACTGGGGATCAAGCCCACAACCCAGGCATGTGCCCTTGATCAGAATCAAACCTGGGACCCTTCAGTCTGCAGGCCGACACTCTGTTCACTGAGCCAAACGAGCTAGGGCAGGGTATTTGCACTTTTATGAAGATTAAATGATACATGTAATATTCTTAGAATAGTGCTTGACACTTAGTGGAATTCAAGAAATGTTACATATTATTTGTTGCTAAAATTTGTAGCGGCTACTGTTTTGTGCCTGATTATGTTTTCTGAACCACCTGAACTCTGGTTACTTACTAGGATCTGGCTAGATCTGAAAGAATTTCTGCTTTCAGATTACCTAGGCCAGTGGTTCTCAACCTGTGGGTCGCGACCCCTTTGGGGGTCGAAAGACCCTTTCACAGGGTCGCCTTAGACCATCGGAAAACACACATATAATTACATATTGTTTTTGTGATTAATCACTATGCTTTAATTATGTTCAATTTGTAACAATGAAATTGGGGGTCACCACAACATGAAGAACTGTATTAAAGGGTCGCGGCATTAGGAAGGTTGAGAACCACTGACCTAGGCAGTGATTGGGGGTGTTGCCTCTCTTAAGATTTTAAAGGTTTGTGTGTCTAAAGAACTTGGATTGGAACCCAGTTAATAATCTAATCGTGGACACTGATGATTCATATTGTGTTTGGATTTTTTTTGACAGATAAGGACTCACAATTCCAGATAATTAAACAAGCTAGAACTGCAGTTGGAAAAGATGGTGACTATTATAATCAAAGTAAGTGGCATCATAGTTTGAGCTAAATAATGAATAAAACTATTTTTCTCCCACAAGCACACATGTTACTAATTTTTAAGAAAAATCTTGTGAAAACAATTATATGGGAAAGGTTAAGTTTTACATATTAGACTACTGTGCTTGGTGTCAGCTTTATTTGTTAGATATTTTCTGCTCAAATACACAAGTCTGACTAGGACACTGTCTTAGGACTTCATGCTTTGGAATTTCCTAATAGATTAGATGGCCTTATAGATCATTTTTAAAATTATGATTATTTAGTTTAATAAATCCCATTTAGTGAGACTGTTTTACCCTGAGATTTCCTCTCTTGAGGATTAGCCCATTGTTAAATGTAATATTGAAATGAACATAAAAGGAAAGGCTTAGGCTAAAAGAGATTAGTTCCCACAGCTGCCCCTCAAAATAAAATGCGAAGTATTACGTACAATTTCAGAGGGTTTGTGGATCCTTTTATGCCCAGTTTTGGAGCTGGATTAAGAGTTTCTTTCTGGGGCTTATGTCAACAGAGACTAGGTTAGAATTTTTAAGTGTGAGCTTCTAGGAAATTGAAAGAAAACTTAATCCATCAAAAACATAGAAGGTAAAGGAGTAAATAGATTTAATATAGATTTTGAACCTAGATAAAACATCTAAGCTAAACATGAGTGGCTCCTTTTTATAAGGATTTGAGTTGTTTTTTGAAGCTTCTGAAGGTAGCTTTCCCCAGACATCTTACCTTTCTTTCCTCACTCTTCTGAATTATATTCACCAGCCCATTATTATGGTTTGTTTTCTTTCTTGTTAAGTTCAGGGTCTTAGCCCATTTTTCTAAGCCAATATCTGGGCTCGATTTCTCCCTAAGTGCCCTGTGGCTTCGGAAGGAGGAAGTCCCTTATCTTTAGTCTGCATTACATTGTTTCCTATAACAGCAGAAGCACATTGTATTTCCTGTTTTGAAGCTCCTGTTTTTATGTACTTTTGTGCTGAATTCCAGGTTTTTCTCTTTGAGGGAGACATTTGACTTTCTCTTATTGAAGAGTTTACTGAACCCCTATTATTGGTTCTACCCATTGCCCCTGTTAATCAACCAGTTAAAAAGTAGAGGATTTTTTTTTGAGGGGTTAATTGTTAAAAGACTTTATTTGACTTTATCTAGTTAGATAGATTTACTGAATTTATTAGAGTTTAAAGAGAACTTGGAGATCATCTAATCTAGTGTCTGCTTTTTACTGATAAGGAAACAAACCCTGACTGATAGAGATGATAAGGTTCTGGTGTCTTTGTTCTAAAGGTCCTTAATACTTTTAAGAGATTTTTTTCCAAAGCCCTGTTATATATTTTATTACTCCTTCACAATAAACTTGTGATAGGTTGGATGAGTATTTTCCCCTCCATAGTAGGTGAAGAAATAGAGGCACACATAACTGAATTGACACTCCTTTGCTAGATAATAGCAAAGCTGGATCCAGAGCCAAGTTCTGAATTTTGGCCCAAACACTGCACTGAATTATTCTGCATTCTGTTAGGAACTCTACATTTAGTGATATTTGTGGATTCTACATAATTGCTCAAATATATTCATTATTTATTATGTCTATCATGATTAATTAAAAGAATGTCACAAATTTTAAATCTGTACATAATATTACTATTAATACTGTTCATTTGGGTGAGCCTATTTTAAAGAAATAAACTAGTTGCTTGGCCTTATACAAATGACAGCTTTTCTGAGTTTACTTTCTTATCTGTAATATAAAACTATCTCCTAGTGTTGTTTAGAGCAATAGAAAGCAATATTAAGATGAAATGGGTGAGAATTATATATATGTATAACTACTCATATAGGTATATAAGACTAATTTTCTAGATCATTTTCTAATCTGAGGTTTTTATATAAGAGTAATAAGGCAGATTTGGACATTGAGTTTAGTTTTTTATAAAAACAAATAATTACTTTGAATGGATACTTCTTTCAGTACATTAAGAGGAAATTTTATTTGATTTTGAATTTTTGTACTAGCTTAAATTAAGATTTAACTGTTAAGAACTATTTTTATATGATCTATAACCCTCTTTTTAAAACTATTTTTCATCTTGTGTAGAGTTCTGCATTTCCTCAACAGAGATTATTTTTGTAGTTTACTTATACCTAGACATTTTACTCCAGGACAAAAATCTCTTTAATATCTTCTTTTTGATGTGTTTATTTTGAGGGAAGACGACTAACATGAACAATTTTACATTTTTTCATGTAATTAATATTTTTTTGTTATTCACTAAATTTTAAGGTTTTTTTTGTGCGGTTATATATTTATGTTTTCATTTTATCAGTCTTATTAGGTCTCAATTCATTTTAATCTTCCTGAAAGCTTAAATAACCATTAGATCTACTTACTTATTTTTAGATATAGTTACTTTGGTTAATTTTGTAACCAAGGTATTAATTTCAATCATAAACAATCATTTTATATTTAGTGGTTTATCTTTTTCCTTCTATATTAAAGATTCAAGTTGTTATACTTGAATTTCATGACATACCGTTGACCTTTGAACAACATAGGTTTGAACGCATAGGTCCACTTATATGTGGATTTCTTTCAATAAATATGGTTGGCCCACTGTATTTGTGGGTTTTGCATCCATGGGTTTGGCATCTGAGGAGGATACCAAAATAGTATTTTTGATCCACAGTTGGGAATCCAGGGATGTATTGTTCTACACCATTATATGTAAGAGACTTGAACATCCACAGATTTTGGTATGAGTCACGGCCGTGATTTGAAGATCAGGGTACTATGGCTAACAAACCCTAAAGAGATAGAAATAGAGTAGTTCTAAAGCTAATCTGTTCCTACCACTTGTGAAACTTTGGCAAGTCATTTTGCTTCTGTGAGCTGTAATTTATCTCTAATGTTAAGAAGTTGACTCTGAATTCTCTCTAAAATTCTAAATATGTATCTCAGAAATAGTACCTCTTGTTAATAAATAGTATAGTATCTCATACATTTAAGATGCCCTATGATGGCAAAAGTGACTAACAAGGAAGAATTGAGAATTAGAGTTACTAAAAAGTAGATTAGAGTGTCAGTTCAGGGTGATGAAAAGCTCTGGAGATGGATAGAAGTGATGGTTGCACAGGAGTGTGAATATACTAATGCCAATGAACTGTACACTTTAAAGATGGTTAAAATGGTAAATTTTATGTTATGTATGTTTTACCACAATTAAAAACTATTATACAGAAAAGTAGAAGTTCACAGAATTGGCATGATTACAGCACATTGAAATGCACTCTATCTAAAGCATAGAAACTTGTGTTAGAAAATTTACATTTTATGGAAATGTAAGCTTATGTAAGTGTGTTTACCCTTTATTTTTTGTCAGAAATATTTATGTTCTGAATGATTTGAATGCAGTTTGTTGTTTAACTTTTCCTGTACTTTTTCTTTTTCAGTAATTGGGGTGAGTATAAAGAGGAATTAGGAACCTGAATGTACTCCTTATTTAAAGATATGCAGTATCCTTTTTGCAAATGATATCCTTTTAAAGTATCATTCAAATTTCTAAACTTTATCTTAGTCACTGTCACAGTATTACAGTCTTGATTTGGAATTTTAGTTGAATTTTCAAAGAATTTAAGTATCAATCTTCATATAGAAATTTAAGATGAATAAAGAAAACTCCAATATATTTCAAAGAGGAAATTATATTTCTTTGTTTGAAAAATAACAGGCAAAGATTTATGTGGAGCTTGTTTATAACACAGTCATGCACTGCAGTTATGCATGTTTTGGTATGCAGTGATCTGCATATACCATGGTGGTTCATAAGATTATAATGGGTTATAAGCAAAAGTTTGTGATGTTGAAAGAAAAGGCTGGACCCAACTAGGATGTTGAATTTACTGCTAGTTCTGTCTGGGTGGTTTAAATAGACAAGGAGGCTTGGCATGTTGTCTCCTTGCTCTGCACCCTGCCCCTGGCTGGGGCCTAGAGTTGGTGAAGGAGGGGAGCCCAGTAGCTCCCTGCCCCCACCCCCTGGCACCCACCCCTGCACACACATTAACACACACTAAAGCTCATAAACTCACTTTCCTTCCTGCTGTCTGTTTCTCTTTGTCTCTCTTTCCTCCCAATTCCCCCCCTCCCCCATCTCTGTCTCTCACTCTTTCTGTCAAGGGCCCTCTCTCTTTTTCCTTCTCCTGTCCTCCCCTTTTATTCTCATCTTAAGTTTTATCTGTGTCTCTTTTGATCTCTGCTTCTGCTCTCCCCTTCTATTTCTCCCTTCTTTCCCTCCTTCTGATGTCTACTCTCTCTCCCTCCACAACCCTTCCCGACCCCCCCAAGCCACACGCCCACACACACTTGATCTTTTACACAGTATTTTTATTCTACCTTTTAAAGATTTAGCTATGTTTAGATACACAAATACCATTGAGTTACAGTTGCCTGCAGTATTTAGTACAATAATAACATGCTTTGCAGGCCTGTAGCCTAGGAGCAATAGGCTATACCACAAAGCCTAGGTGTGTAGTAGGATATACCATCTAGGTTTGTGTACTCCGTGATAGTCCCACAACGATGGAATTGCTTAACGACACATTTCTCAGAACATATTCCCCTCATTAAGTGGAGCATGACTGAACATTAGTGTTTTCTAATCTTTTCTAATTTTCCTTCCAGATTTTGTAGCCTATATTCAAAGGAATTAGGTTTATCAAAGCAAACTCATTTTTTAAATGTTTTAACATCTGGCTGCACATAAGCGCTTTTCCTAGTGTCTATCAGAAGTGGAGTAAAATTGATTGACTTCAAAGGAAACCTTTCTTCCCCACTAATTCAAAATCCTTTGACTTGCACATTTAAGTTATCTATAGCTGTTAGACCACAGACTTTATTCAGTGTAGCTATTCTCTTAATTTGTAGACAAATATAAAGTAATCTTTTGTGTCTGTGTTGCAATGCTTAGTTTATAGTATGCTTTTATTTGATTTTTTTTTTTTTTTGCGTCTTAGGAAGTCAACAAAGCTAATATCAAATATAAGTATCAGGGAAGAGCTACTGATTTTATATTGTTCTATGAAGCAGAGTTATTACTATAGGGTAACCTAGCAAACATTAAAAGGGTTTATTTGGTAGCTCATGTTCTTTGCATTAGTGAATAATGAGTCTGGGACTATCGTTTTAAATTGCTTTATTTACAGTTACAATAATTTTTTATTTCTTTGAGAAAATTTGGTTCTCAAAACAAAATTTTTCTTCAAAGTTTAATACATCATATCAAGGTATTGTATTTACTTTTTTTCATTAATGAGCAGATTTTAGAAAGTTCTGTAACTGCTGTGGGGGCACTGCTGTTAACTTTTTTCAGTTAACTTGGTTAAGCCAATATGCTTCCTTTTCAGAAAATTAAAACAAGTTTAGTCTCAATGTAACCTGTCTTTCTCTGGTCTGAGGAAGTGTGGGATTTCTGCTACTTAATTGTTTTTGGTCCATAGCTCTGAGTCATTACACAAATGTGATATATTGTTAATGTGGAATGAGTAGCTTGATGTCTCATATAAAAAGGACATTTTTAAACACATTTTTCATATTTCTATAATTTATTTTCAATGGAACTGTAATACGTATTACCTATTAAAAGTCTCTCCCCATCAGCTTTTATGGGAAAAAACATATGCACAGAAAGGAAGTTAATATCTACTTTTATAGCATGGGTAGCCTTTGAAAAATTGTTAACCAAAAGGTTTTCTTATGAACATTGCCTTATGATAATTACTGCCTGCCTTCATGGGATCTGTTTTAACATTGTTGGAGAGAAGAGCAAATATCCACAATATATCCTGTATGTGAATGTAGCATTCAGGATAAAGTCATTGTTTTATCATTTGTTACATAGATTGATATTTTGTAATTTAGACATACTATGAAAAAAATTTGTGTTCATACTGCATTACTATAGTGCATGTTTATAGATAAGTAGTAGATCTTAAGTCCACAATGCTTCATGTATTTTTATTTTTGTGGTTTTATTTTTACTTTAGGGATTTATTCTTCATTACCTGTCGAAGTTCCTCTGAATCACAAACGATTTGTTTGTGATCTGACCCAAGCTGATCGTCTTGCCCTCTATGATTTTGTAATTGAGGAGACAAAGAAAAAGCGCTCTGATTCTCAAATTATCGAAAATGACAGTGATCTCTTTGTAGACTTGGCTGCAAAAGTCAATCAAGGTTTGAGATGAATATCATAGTTTTATATTTCTTAATTGTTATTCCATTCTTTGCTGTTATTAAGATGATATGTCAGGCCACTTTAAGAATAAGATGGTTTTGTGCCATCTGATATTCACGTATAAAAGATGTTTATTCAGTAGTGAAAGTTTGCTCTCTGATTTTACATTAAGCAAAGCATCCTTCTGTGAGAATGTTACAGCTGTGCTGTTGCTGTAATCTATGTACCTAAACACTCTTATGTTCAACTGATGACTGGAGAAAAGGAATGGTATAAAACTTAGCCCATTTATATAATGTAGAATTCTTAGAATATTTTTAACATATTTTGAAACATGTTAAAATATGATTGTGGTGTTCCTGTTAATTTTTAAGAATGTAAATTTTTCTAAGGATATAATAATTTTATTTTTTATTAGATAATAGTCGAAAAAGTCCAAAATCTTACCTTGAAATCTTGGCAGAAGTGAGGGATTATAAAAGAAGACGTCAATCCTATAGAGCTAAGAATGTTCACATAACCAAGAAATCATACACTGAGGTAAGTTTTATATAATCTTGTAGAGCTTTGTTGAGAACAGACATTTCCTTTATGTAGATTTCTAAATCTGTTCTATGGATTTCCATAGTTCCTTGGAGGTTTTCTGAAAAAATAAGTATCTTCAAGCTAGACACACCTGATCTGTAGTTGCTTTATCACTTTCAGATCCACTCCTTGCCAGACAAAGGGTTTTTAGGATACAGAAACCTTATATAAAGAGGTTGTACATCTTTAAAAAATACCTACTTTTGAGAAAGTGATAAGAGGATTTTAGATTTTGGCTTTAAACATACCTGGTTGCTTAAGTTTTCATTCTGCTGCTTATCATTACTGTTTGACTTGGGCAAGTTATTTGTGAGGTTTTTAAGAATCATGTAAAAAAGATTTATCACAGTATAGACTTTGCAGGGTTGTTACAAGAATTGATTGAGATTATACATGTGGATATAAATTGCTCAATAAATAGCTATAGTTTTTGGCAGAAATTTTAGTGTGTTTTTATGTACTCTGCTAAATATTTAGACTTAAGAAATGTCTTGGTATAAATTATTTATAATTTATTTAATTAATATATTTTTATTGATTTCAGAGAGGAAGGGAG